GCGGAGGGGAGTCAAAGCCAGGTGAATGTGGAAGCAATCACCCAAGGAGCTTGTGCAATGTGATGGGTGTGGATGGGAATAAGGGATAGGTGAAGGGCTAACAACCTGAAGGAGATCAGAAGAGAACCTGGAAAAACAATGTCACTAAAACACAAGTCCATCAGAGGTCTGGAAAGGGTGATGATTGACTGATTAAATAATACTGGAAGCTGCAGTACAATAAAAATTACAAGTGTGTTCATTGAATTTGGGAGTTGGGAGATCCTAGATAATGCTTATTTATTTTTTTAATAAGTAGTAATTGAGAATATGCTGTGTATTGGGACCAATGCAAGGCCCTTTATTAAGGAGTGAAAAAGACATGCATGATCTGGGCCCTTGTAGATTTTCTTCCACCCATTGATTAAGTGGAATCTCTATGAAAATAAAAAACTATATTCCACTTTTATTTTTTAGATTCTATATGATCATTTTATTAAACTAAATGTAAACAACTTGAGGGAGACTGGTACTATTTTATATATGTTCATATATGTAATGGTTAATCTCTTATTACTGGTTTTTGGTCTGCGGGATGAAGAATATCATAGGCACAAAAATAAACAGTTGTGTCTTTTTGTGTCTACTACAATGTGAACTTAATACCAGACTCTTACTGAAGAAATGTCTGGCATATTCTGAACATTTCATCTCATGACGTTAAGTGTACAGAGGTATCAGCAACATTTTGGTCATAAGTATTCAGTTCTTTAAGTAGCCATCCTCATCCTGATGGAGTGAAGAAAATGTGTGTATAATAACAAATCAAGTAGCATTTGGGACGGCTGGGGGTGCAACTCAGTGGCAGGGTACTTGCCTGATGTGAGCAAGGCCCTGGTTTCAATGCCCAGTAGCGCGCACACACACATACACATAACATCCATGGCTTTTGAATACTCAGTTTAAGCTAATGAATTAGAAATACCTAGTCTATTTCCATCTTTTAAGTAAAAACAGAATTTTGATGCTGAATTGTAGTCACTTGGGTAATTAGTTTATTTTTTAGTGAGCTAAGCTGATGAATGTTTTGAAACTACAGCAAAAAAAAATAAAGTCAGCTTCATTGGGGAAAAAATGAACCATATATGAATATAATTTTAATCTATTTTAAAGCTTTATGTTTCAAAAACAAAGATGGCATTGTCACAAGCATGCCACTCAAAGATATACCCAAGGAACACAATTAGCATGTGAAATTTATTTCCCACTAAGTGTCAGAAGTTCAAAATTGCAATTTGCTTAACAAATGTAAAAAGTTGTGTTTTCTGTTGTATGCTAACTGATGTCGTATCTGTTCATTTCTCTTTTGATATCAAATAATAAAATATTTATATATAATCAAGATATATTCAATCCACAATAGTACTAAAGAAAGCACTGTGTACTTCAGAGTTGGTAAATCATGATACCATTTTCCACAATTAAATCCCTGCCTTTATGTGTGTAAAATATTCAAATTAACCTATAGAACCATGTATTCCTACAGTGTACAAAATTACTGAACATCCTTATTAGATCTTACTTTTTCAATTCCTGTGTGGTAGGACCAATAATATTTTAGTTTCATGCTATGTTCAGAATATTATAATATAATAACAATATTAGTACTAAGGAAAAACCTTAAAAGAGAGAATAGAAATAGCAGTTTGGGTATTTAAATGGAATAATAAATAGGCCACATAAAGATTTTAGAACTCAGTGAAGCAATATTATAAACCGATATAAAATGACAGAACTGAATGTAAAATTTTGAGGCATATATACTATCAGTGACAAGTTTAACTTATAAGAACAAGTTTCCCATCAGAAAAAGTTTTGATGCCATTTTGAAGGAAGAGTGTGGATCCAGAGAGCAGCAAAAACAAGCAGAAAATCTTAGAAAAGCAGACGTATTTGTCTCATAACCTCTACTGTGAAGATTACACTGTTGATTAGCAAAGAATATTTTGACCCTCTGGTTTTACCTTTAACTTCACAATAAAAGGTTGCTTAGCATAAGAAATTTTAAATTTTTCTCCACTCACTAGGAGTGTTATTTCAGCAAATCACTTTTCTGAGTTCCCTTTAAGAATAAGAATGTCCATCTCATGGTGCAGTTTAAAGAGCTAATCTTTGTATGTAGGATGCTTGGCACAAAATAAACTCTAAACAGATATCAGTCCTCTTCCCTTTATAGGCTCCATAAAACACTGCTGTCTGATGAGGAAATCTTTAAGTTGTATCATTTCCATTTTAAGATCAAATGCAAAATATAATCAAAAAGTTGAGTGTAAGATGTTTGGGGTGCACAGCAATTATCTTCAGATGTGTTTCTTAGTGCCAGGATGGTTTAAAGAATCATGAAAGGTTGAAGCGTCCAGAAGAACTTTGGCCTAGGTTATACCTTCATGCCATCTACTGTGCTGAATTGATATGGACACACATTCACTAATAAACAGGCACAACTAGGAAAGTGCTATTTTATTAGGAAGCTAAAAAGCTTGAGCTCTGGAGACCCTTACCTACACGGCCCCCATTTTTGGCCTCGTATCTAATTTTTGTTTGTAATTGCACTCTTTTCTTTAAAGAGGGTCCCTGAAATTAAATAACCTCAGGCCCCATAAAACCTGTATTCACTACAGCTGCACTGTCATATAAAATTTAAAAAAAAAAATCAGTATGACTATAAAGGAATAGGGTGGCCAATAGCAAGAAATGTAGTTTTTGTATTTGTTGCCAAAATAATAATTTGTTTGTAATCCTTGAGCGCAAATGTTCATTTATCCTTGACCACAAACACCTTGCCTATCTGCAGGTACTCTAGTGCAGTGTCAGTCCAAGAAAGGGAGAGAGACCACCTGGCAAGGAAGAGGTCTCTAGTTATATTACCCAATTATTTGATTCCTTACACATGTTTAGGTAGATAAAGCAGAAAGGGTAGATGAGAACCCTTTATACTGATCTGACTTGTGTGTGCCAAACAATGGGTTCATGAGAGGAATATCACTAAAACTGAGACTCAGGGGAAGTAAGTAAGTTGACTTCATTTTAAGTAGCTAGATGAGCTAGTACTGACCCACAGGCCACCGGAAGTCAAATCCCAGGTTCTTTCCGCCTTCCTGTGGGGCTGAGACTTACCTGCCCAGAGTCACTGGAGAGAGCGGGCAGTTAACCTACAATTCACAAAACAATTCTGGATACCTGAGGTCCTGCTGGCCACTCGGCAGACTTTTCTTTTGTGGTTCATTCATTTATCCATGTGTCCAGTGCTTGCCTGTAATAGGCTGCCCTCTACTTACTTATTCTTCAAAATTGTCAGATTCACCTAGAAACTCATTGGTAGGTAGATTAGGATATGATAGATAAAATTTTGATATCCATTGTTATTTTAGTCTCATGAGTCCTTTTAAAATTCCTTTAAATTGCAGTTTAATCACAAAACAAATGCAGCATGTGATTGCAGATAACAACTTCCAAAATTTTTATGCTCACACCTATAAAATAAGTTTTGTTTCGAAATGAGCAGTCATTTTCATATCTCAGCTTTTTCTTTTCAGAGATCTCTTTTACCTGGATGATTTTATCCCGTCTCTATCATCACTGACTAGCTTTTTAAACATGTGATTCTAACCCCATTTCTGCTAGTTCAGAGAACTGCAGTGTGCACTAGGGGAAGGAGAGCATAATTTCAGATGAAATGTGTGTGTCATGTTGTAGATTGGGATTGAAGCTTTACTGACAGGAGCCAGATAACTCCTGGAGGTTTTGACTCTGGTATGAAGGGTGAAGTTCCCAATTGCATTAAAACATTCACTGACAAACAAATCCCAAAACAACATCATGGATAGAAGCTGACAGTAGTAAAAATGGTAATGGGAACAATTGCAATGAAATTTCTAAGCAAATGACTTTTGTGTGTGGTATATTTCATTTTATATAATGGAATGAGAACCCACTGCCACCACTGCAAATATATATTAATGAGTGAAGGTGGCCCTTGAATGTAGTAAGTGCCTACTCTATGGTGAAATTGTATTTTTAGGTGATCCCATTTTATTCACGAGAGTTAGGCAGTAAACGAAATTATGTGTCTTTTGATGAAATAATATTGTTGTATATTTAGAGTTTCTTTCATGATGTTTCTCCTAACAGGGAAAGTGGGTAACATTTGAATAAAAGATGGCTCCAGGATCCATGGATACAGGATCCATGAGGACTCAGAGTCCAGTTATACCTAAAAAAAAGCAATATCTTGATTATAACATAATCTTAAGTACTGAGGAGTGCTTAAGACAGTGACTACACATTGAGTATATGGACTGTCCAAAAATAATGTCCTTGTTACATTATGGGTGAAGCTGTGGCTACACATAGCTTGACTGCAACAGTAGGAGAAGGTTTGAATTGCACAGAAGGCATTTTACTGTCCTATGAACAACATATTTACAAATAATATTAGATAGTGAAAGGGTATCGCATATACATGTGTATTTGCTATAATTTCTTTGAGCAAAGAGAAATTTCTGCTCCTTGATATTTATTCACAGAAATTTTTACGTAATTGTTTATTTTAAGGAAAACTCTCCTGTCTTATTCCCTCTGAGTCACCTTATTCTTGCTGTTCATAGCATAAAATAAAAGATAAAAAATACTTTCACAGCATTTTAAATTTTTTCTTGTCCCCTGAGTTAGATGTGCGCCTGGAAAGACAAATGAATCTTCTATGGGCAGTGTTTGTTTATATGTTGATCAAAATAAGGCAACAACTTGAGTACCTGAAAAATTATTGAGGTTTCCATATACAAAAGTATTTAGTAACAAATTAATCTTGCAGAGTGTTATTATAAGTAAATTGGATGCCTAAGGGATGCCATGTGACACTTCCACTTTGGTAAAAGCTGTGTTCCAATAAAAATTGCCAGATTTTACTTTTTAAAAACTTTGAAAATCTTTTCTTCTCTTTGCCTCTTTCTCCAATACAGATCCACATCCAGAGAACTGAAGGATGTGACCACATGACCTGTTCACAGTGTAACACTAATTTTTGTTATCGATGTGGGGAGAGATACCGCCAGCTCCGGTTTTTTGGAGACCACACATCAAACCTCAGTATATTTGGATGCAAATATCGCTACCTCCCAGAGAGACCTCATTTAAGGAGATTAGTGAGAGGGTCAGTCTGTGGTGAGTATCTGACAAGCTTATGGGAATCTTCCCTCAGAATGAAGCTGTAGAACTTGGAATATCCATGATAATTCTGAGCACTTGCTGTGTGTGCCAGGTATTCTAGCTAGGGTTTTACCTCAAAGCAAGAGGAGAATATTCTCTCTCCTTTTGTGAACAAAATTGAAAACGACTTGGTGCAGTGGCACGTACCTATAGTTCCAGCTACTCAGGAGGCTGAGGCATAAGGATCTTTTGAGCCCAGGAATTGGAGGCCTTTCTGGGCAACCTAGCAAGATCTTGTCACAAAACAAAACCCCCCAAATTGAAAACTTTAATTTTTTAACAGGACATTAGTTATTTGAGTAAGCAGATTTTATTTGAAAAACAAATCATTGATAACATGGATGAAAACTGAAGTGATTAGCCTTTTAAATTTCTGAAGCCCTAGTGTAAGCCACTTGATCAGAGGGACAATATCTACACACATCCTCTGTTCATTGATGAAGTACTGCAGTACAGTACGGCATGGAACATGGTCTAGCAGGATGGAAAGAAGCACATGTTTCACAGCCCTGTAATGGAGTTCCATTATGTCTTCATAATCGATGCCATTGTATATGTTTTCCTATCATACTCCTAATTAAGAGCCAGCAGTTAATGGAATGAGTTTCAGAAGTCCTCATTATATATAGACCCAAGTTTAATTACGCAAGCATAAGTGCTCTTGTAGACTGACTTTCTACCCCTTCTTCCTCAGTAACACACAGCCTCACACATGACTTCTACACACCCACACCCATAAGCTGATATCTGCCTGTAATCAAACCCCCCTGGCCTAATGCCACCACCTTCATTCCTGTGACCTAATATGTTGTCTTCCCTTAGCTCCCTGCACCTCTATAATGTATCCACTGTGAGATTTCTTCCTCTCTTTTCACAGTGTTGTGCTACATTATTTCTGGCAGTCTTGTTGTGTGCATAAGATACTTTTCAACATCTTCCACACTTACCCTTTTCTATCTAGTTTGGCTTAGTGATTTCATGAAAATCTCTCTGTAACTATTCTTAGCCACTACACTGGTGTGTGACCGCCCTTTCCTTTTTTGGAATCATGATGGCTGACTAGAACAAAGCTGGTACTAATGACAGATTTCTGTTGGGAAAAAGAACATACACCTTAAATGCACTTTAACATGGAAACGTCTAAAATCTTACATGATTGAAATATGCTAAATTTTAATTAAACATAATTTTACAGAGCCAACAGCATCCAGTAATCAAGATTAGTTTTAGTAATTTTCAGCAATTTTTTGTTTATTTATTTTCTTGATTGGTATATCAGCTATATTTGCTGGTTAGTCATATAGCCTTTAGAGATAGATAAGGAAGCTCCCCTATTTATAATGAATACTATGAGAAAAATAATTGCAAATAAAGTATTGAGCAGTATCCTATTTGTAAGTCTATAGAAACAGACAGCAGTCCCAAATACAAAACCTTTATATTTTCAGCCTGGTTAGTCTTTTTTTATCCTATTTCAGTGCCATTTAGATTTTATTGTTGTAAGATGTTTCCTTCCATTCTTTATTTTAAATATCTTTGGTTTGGCCAGTCATTTTTTTTTCTTTCCTTTTTCTTTTTCTCTTTAGACATTCTTAATGAAGGAAGTTATTTCGTGTTCTATCTTTCCAGCAGTTCTCAGGATATATCTCTTTGGGCCTTCTTGATATTTGCCTGGACACCCCGAGAATCTTCTCTGGTCAAAAATTGGGTTGAGTTATCTTATAGCTTGTGAAATGGACAGTGAGCAGAGAATACCATAGACATTGTCAGCAAGACAATATTTTCTCTGTACCTTTTCTGTTTTCTTATTTAATTTTTTTTTTTGGTCAGATTTCAGTAAATGGTTTTCTGTTAGGTCTTCTTCTTGAGCGTGTGCACATGTGTGCTCACATGCATGTGTGTACATGCAGCCAAGTCAAGATACACCTGACAAAATAGGGAGCAGCTGGCTTAAGATCAGCTTTCCCTCCAACATGTATTCTCCCATCCCAGCACAATAACCTCAACTGCTATTGACTTTAACTCTCATGGAGGAGTCCTCACCTCTCTCCATGAAAATAGGAAAAGGAATTACCTTGTGACTCAAAATCACTGACTCCCTGCCATACAAGAGAGATGATGAATTATAGGTCAACCCTTCCAGACACTCTTCTTGTATAATGTTACACAGCTTGGCCCCTCAGCCTTGGATACAGCCTCCACATGTCCTTGGTCAGAGGCCGAGGAAGGGCATGCATTCCTCCCACATCTGAGGAATGAGAAATATGGTGTTCATTGCACGTTACCATTTGCCCAGCTAGAAACCAAAGGTTCTACTCACAAGAAAGGGGATGATGAGCAGCCTCCAATGCATGGTAGGGCATAGGCAGATAATTCAGGTACTAGAAATGAAAGTGCTTAAGGAAACATCTTAAATCCTTGTAATATTTCATACCAAAAATTTAAAGGTTTTAAGTAAATCATATAATTTTTAAAAATCAGTGTTTAAAGTGATTTCTAGGTGACAGTTTATATGAACAAAAGCAATGGGCCCCCCTTCAAAAATAAATACCCAAGTTTTTAAAAAAAGACAACAGAGTGTTGAACCAGAATTAAAGAAATATTAATAGACAAAAAACATGTTCAAAAATATTCAGTATATCCAGGAGCAGTGGTGCATGCCTATAATCCCAGTGATTTGGGAGGCTAAGACAAGGATCACAAGTTTGAGGCCAGCCTCAGCAACTTAGTGAGGCCATAAACAACTTAGTGAGACCGTCTCTTAAAATAAAAAATAAAAAAAGCTGGGTATGTAGCTCAGTGATAAAATATCCCTGGAGTCAATCCACAGTACGAAAAAGAAGAAGAAGGAGAAGGAGAAGGAGGAGAAGGAGGAGGAGAAGAGAAGGAGAAGAAGGAGGGGGAGGGGAAGGGGAAAGGAAGGAAATTTTCAGTGTTATTGGTAGAAAAATATAAATTAAAATAAAATGAGATATTTGGGACTCTTGATTAGCCAATACTTTGGAAAATTACCACTCAATGCTGAAATTTCATACTGTACTGAGCAAATTGGAAATTTTATACCATTCTTTTTTTTTCAAAATGAATAATATTTTAATGCAATTTTTTAAAAATCACAATTAGTATTTAAAAATCTATGATGGACAAAATATCAAAATGTATCATTCTTTTGCAAAGAAATTTGATAGTAATGTGAAAGATGTTAAAACATGATCAACTTTAATAGTTTATGTGCAAGTAGAATGTTTAATAGCAAAAAAGGAACACATGATTAGGCAAAATTAAATTATAGGCATATGAATAATTGAGTGTATGTACAATATTATTTCAGCTACTGAAAATGGTATTTTTTAAAAATGTGTTACTGTCCTAGGAATAAGAAAAAGTGTATTCACTCCCTCCAGACATTTTCAGAAATAGGAATACTAAGTTTAAATGTGGATCATCCTTAGAATAAGCTTATTTCACCCCATAGGGAGGGAGCACATGTTCCTTGATGTCTGTGATTTGAAAGACAAAACATCAGTGACTTTTCTTTATAGTCATGCTCCATTACTGTGATGAAAATATATTGATAATTATTTTTAGAGGAAGTTTGAAAGAAAAGACTGAGCTATGTGCATAGGAGACAAACAGGGTACTTTAAAATATGCAGTCCTAGATTCTGAAATTCCAACTTTTAACCATAGCTCTAAGAATATACAAAGGTCACCACCATTCAGTGGGCTTTTGTATTATTTAACTGATTTATGTCACTGGTGAAAAATAAGTAAAACTCATGGTTAAAATAATAATAATAATAATAATATAACCCAGTGTGGGGACTCACTCCAAATGCATGCACCTTTAAGTCCTAATGCACCAAGCAGATCTGAAAGATCAATGTAGTCTGGAGTGGTAGTGCCATGACTCATGACTTGGTCTTTTTCCTCGATGGATAACAGTGCTAACAAGGTGTGGCCCTAGGAGTAGGCAGCACCCAGAGGGGTTGAGCTACACTCACCTATTCCTTTGTAACCCTACCCCTTTGCCCTGTTTGGGATAAGAATGTTTCGTGGAAAATCCCTTAGTTTGTCCCCTTCTCTTGCTCTGCCTTTGGGCTTGGCCTTCCTAGATGTCAGTCAATCTGATGACAGCAGACATCACATCATAAAGTTAGACTCAACTCCCCTGAAACCTGACCCTTGCCTCATTTGAATGGCTTCTTCCCAATAAAAGGGTTCTTGTTCTTGTTGTTGATGTTGTTGTTGTTGTTGTTCTTCTTCTTCTCCTCCTCCTCCTCCTCCTCCTCCTCCTTCTTCTTCTTTTTCTTTCTTTCTTTCTCTCTCTCTCTCTCTCTCTCTCTCTCTCTCTCTCTCTCTCTCT